TGCGATCTGTATCTTTAAAAATGAGTTTTTTCTTGAATTACTTTCAATTATTTTAGTCAAATTCGGTTTAATTTTTAAAAAGGGGGAAAAAATTACCCTCAACCCTCAAAAAGAAACCCTTGACCCTCCTACTCCCGCAATAATTACTCCAGGGTGCTCGCCCAAGTGATTCATTAACTTTTAGCTGAAAATACGTTTTTCTAAATAACTCGGACGCTTTTGCAGATTTTAAAATTTTTTTCAGAAGTGTTAAGTAACATGTTTTAGCTCAATTTTTCATTAACCATGGAATAACAGTTGGAGAAGTAAATTATCAAAAGTGTAAAGCAAAATGATTGAATTAAAAAACACCAACAAAATCAAAGGCAGAACACGGATTGTCAGAGTCACAAGCAGAAGTGCAAGAATAAACCAACCACATTGATTGATTCCATGTGTTTTCAGGAATCACTATGAGGGTCAAACCTGGAAGTCCAACTTTACGGAATTTTCTCCTTGACAACAACTCCCCTCGAGACTCCTAATTTAATGAAAACCAGCCTTAAACAACTTTGTATAGTTTGTGGTTATCAATATATTGAGGAAAAGTTATTTATTAATTACAAAGTTGGTGTTTTTCACAACATTGAAGTCTTCTTGATAATCTTACTACATAGTTCTTGGAGAATTTCTGTATTACACGTACAAGTTATGCACTGATTAGCAGTTCCTTTCCATAAATCTTTAATAATGTTGCATTTAAAAGCATGTTGGTTTACTATGCATGTGCAGTCAACAATGTTATACACATAGTGGTCCATGTACTCAAAGGGCAGATCAGTAAATGGCATGCTTTAGTTTTAGTTTCTCGAATGCAAAACATTGCACTATTTTTCCAAATTATTCCTTAGTGTCTGTCTTATGTAATTAACCTGCATGCAGACATCTCTTATTTCCTTTGTTGCACGTGGAAAAGGGTCCCTTTTCCACGTGCAACAAAGGAAATGGGGGAGCCTTCACACAGGCTGTGTGCAATTTACCTGCTGTATTGCGGTTGGTTTGCATTTAAAATAAATTGTTTTGGAAATCCTTGAATCCTCTTTGTTCCTACTCACTCGACCACTGTATCCTATTACATCTATACATTACCTAATGCCTGCAAATGTAAGACAAGATTAAGGTAGATATCAAGTCCAAGACAGTGACTCTCAGCTAGGGGGTCATTCTGTTCAAGGCATGCATGTAAATCATTGTTTGCTATACTGGGTAATTCTATATCAGGAACCTCCACAGGCACTGTGTCATCCAAGAGTACGCTGTTTCCACCCCACTGACAATCAGGTAGGGGCCCATTCCAATCAATGCCATAATCAGGAACATCATCCACCTGTGGAAGTGAAAGTATATGTAAATGGTCAGAAACAGTCAATCAGTTGGCCCTCTGTTCAAATGGTCAAATTATATACAGTCAAGTAAATGAGAAGTAAATAAACACAAAATCCATAGAGAAAATTAACTTCCCTTAGGTGTGGCTAGACTGCCACACCCTACTTCATTTTTATCATGGTTATTTTTTAACCTTCTTTAAGCAAAGTGCGATGATTGGTCCAAAGTGTGTCTGCTTAAGCAGGACTGTACATTTGTAGTCATAACCACCATACATAGCCGTTTCTCTTGTAGTAGGGTTTCTATCATAAGAATATAATGTTTTGGCA